GCGTCGTCCTCATGGTAATGGTGCACAACAGGAAAAAGTGACTGCCACTCACGACGCCTACAGCGTCAAGACGGCGTAGGGACTCCGCTTAAATGACGTCGACCGTTATGGCCAAGGTAGAAAGCGCAGGCACCTTCCACATGGTGATGGTACCCGACAAGCTGAAGTGACTGCCACAGACCGGTCACGACGTTTACAGCGTCAAGATGCCGCACGGTCTCCGCTATCGTCCAGCCTGCCCAAACGCTGAACGTGCGGACAGCATGACGCCGCTCAGCGACCAGAACTCGTACTCAGCTCCCTTAGAATACATCAAGCTGATCTCAAAAGTAAAGTACAACAGGGCATCTGATGGACACCGTTTTCAAACCGCCTTTACCATTTGACGCGGCATAGAAGTCATCTTTAGGAAAATAAAAGCCGACGTGGTGGAGGCCAGTTCCCAAGGCGTCATCGCTTTCGTAACGGGGGAAGATGCCTTGGATGGCTGGCCAAGGTGCAAGGAAGCGCCGCCGCCGTCCTCATGGTGATGGTGCCCGACAGGAAGAACTGACTGCCGCTGACGACGCCAACAGCGTCACGACCGCGCAAGGCGTCCGCTCTGACAAAGTAAGGCCTATCAACCAGTCTTCCCATCCTTTTACACCGTTTTCAAATCATATCGACCATGTGGCCTGGCGGAGAAGTCAACTTCACCAAAACAGTTGCCGACGTGGTGAATGCCGGTTCCCACTGTGTCGTCGCTACCGTGACGGCGCCCATATCCTGGGACGTTGGCCAAGGTGCAAGAAGGCGTCAGCGGCATCCTCATGGTGATGGTAAACGACAGGAAGAAGTGACTGCCGCTCACGACGACTACAGCTGAACGCCAGGCCTGACTTTGTCAAGTCGGAGGGCCTGCAACATCTGACCGCTGACGACGACGTGGGCGTCAAGCGAAACACTTGTCTGAAGACGCGAGCGATGCAGGCCTTCCCTGGCACGGCTAGGAAACTACCTGACGTGAGGTCCACGGCGGCGCCGAAGACGACGAGGTGGGTGAGGTGATCGTGCAGCAGCCAAAATTCCAACATCACGGCCAGGAACTCGAAAGCTTCATAGGCCCAGGCGAAGCTCGTTTGCTGACAGGTTACACTTCCTTGCACTGCGCTCGTCGTTCCGGCAGCGCTCTGCACGCTCGAACAGCAATGTCGTTTGGAGCTGCGATTACTACAGCTTAACAGAATGATAAATGAAAACAATAAGACAACGTGACAACGTCCTACCAATGAGACAACGTGACGTTGACGTCAACGTTAAATGTCGCGCCAGGTTCTACATCTCCACCTTCTATTTGAAAACCAGCTCGAAGAAGTCCAGGATCACGTCCAAGAGATTTATCAAAGCGGAAAACGAGCACCGTCTGGACGATGTAGGCATCGTGGATCGTGGCCATCAAAGGCCGTCACAGTTATCGTCATGGCCAACTCAAAACATGTAGCCAAGGATACCAAGCATAAAGCAAGGTTAGGAAAAATTAGAAAAAAAAAATACAGAAAACCCAACTTAAGTGAAGACTGTTACAAGTACATCATAAATGCACAAACAATTCTCACAAGGTCAATTTCAAAACAATTACTATTACCACTAGGTAATCATCATAATATCCAAATAGGTTCAACCATAGAATTGGGCTACCAACTGATAGTTCCAAGCTCAAGTAAAACAACTGCGCTAGCGCAACCTACAGGGTCAAATAAAAAGCTAACCCTCCAACGACTATGGATCACAGCAGAGATACTCACCGCGACAAGCTAATGACCCTAAGCTCGGAGAGTATAGCCAAGCCAAAAAAAAATTATATAATTGCCATAAAGGTGCAAAACATAATCTGGCGAAGAGCGGAAATCTTAAATATATGATAAAACTGAACTCACCAAACTGTTACATAAAACTACACAAAAAACTGCCAAAAGCGAATTTCAGATGATGGTATCACATGGTAAACTATGAATAATTCATAGAATTCAACAATCTAGAAAAGCCAACTTGTATCTTAAATTTTAGAATATCACAAAGACAATACAAAAAGAAAATATAAGGCACAACAATTGCAATTTTTCAAGAATAAATAAAACCTTGGTAACCATTCCAAGACTTGAAAAATTCAAAGCAAAAACTCGCCTCACATATTTGTTACTTTCAAAATGGGTGAAGCTACGAAAGAATTATACCCAGCAGTAAATGATGACATTGCCCAAAACCTGGAAAAGATATGTTTCTTTCCAAACATTTCATT